AGCTCATTCACCCAGGCTTCTCTTTTCCTGAAGAACCTGGGCTGGGCAGCTGACACAATGGGAATCCTCCTTTTCCTCCCCCCATTTGAGGTTAGGTGCTAAAAGGTATGTTAATTAAGCTTGAGAAACCAAGTTGCGGTCGTGAGATTCGAACCTGCAAAGTATGATGTAAAGTTGCCTGAATGTCTGGAAAAGTAAGATTGACAGCTGTACCTTGTCTTAGTCCCTCCTAGCTTTGTGTATAGTTCCTCCCCTAAATAAAAGGAAGGCGCAGAAGGAATCCAGGTGCATTACGACTGGCAAGGCGTGCTTTACAGCATGCAGGGGGCTCATTCCAGCATTGCTACCATACTGCCTACTTAGCCAAGATGTTTACTATGCAGGATATTATGGCCTTTGTGGCTGAGATGTTTGCAATGCAGGATACGCCTGATGCCAGTCCAGCATTCACTCTGGTTCCGGGGTTCCTCTTTGTCTCTCTCTTTGTCTCTTTCTGTGTATTCTTTCTATATCTTTATCACCGCCAGATATCCCCTCCTCATGAACCAAACACTCGTGAACAACCAAACAAATATGTTGAGGCCAGTCCCCGGCAGGTAAATGTAACAGATTTATAAATTCTCAATGGAATCCAGACCTTCTGGAGCCATTGAAGTTGGATGAACACCTGAAAATATTGCCCTGAGATCACCTTTAAACCTCAAGCCAAAACTTTCCCCAGAAATCTGCTTTGAACCAATCAACGGTTTAGCTTAATGAGTTAAGTGTGTCTTCTAACTTCCTAGCTCTTGGTTCCCTCAGCTGTAAATTGTCACCTATAAATCTGTCCGTGTGTCACACTGTGGTGACTTGCATGATGCTGTGAAGCTGGAAGCTATGTCACTGAGATTGTAAATACCAGCAGGACCAACCATGGTAGACAGGTTTCGGTTGAGCTCCGAGACTCAGACAGACTGGAAAGAAAGAGAGGTGGGCTACTTCTGAATGTTGAGCCACTGAGAACCTTATGGATAGCAGCGCACATAAAATCTTGGTGAAAATAATTCAAAAACGGCTTCAAAAGTGCACCGACAGGGAACTGCCAGAAATACAAGCTGGATTCAAAAGAGGACACAGAACTAGGGATGTCATTGCTGATGCCAGATGGATCTTGGCTGAAAGCCGAGACTGCCAGAGAGACGTTTACTTGTGCTTTATTGACTATGGAAAGGCTTTCAACTATATGGATCATGACAAGCTATGGATAGTATTGTGAAGAATGGGGATTTCAGAGCATTTGATTGTGTATATGAGGCACTTGTATTTAAACCTAGAGGCAGTAGTTAAAACAGACCATGGAGATACTGATGGTTTAAAATCAGGAAAGGTGTGTACCAGGGATGTATTCTTTCACCATACTTATTCAGTCTGTATGCTGAGCACGTACTCTGATTATATAAACTGGATTATCTGAAGAAGAATGTGGCACAGGAGTGGAGGAAGACTCATTACAACCTGCAATATGCAGATGATACAACCTTGCTTTCTGGAAGCGAAGAGGACTTAAAATAGTTACTGATGAAGACCAAGGACCACATCTTTCGGTATGGGTTGCACCTCAATGTAAAGAAAGTAAAAATCCTCAAAACTGGACCAATAAATAAACATCATGATAAACGGAGAAAAGATTGACGTTGTCAAAGATTTTATTTTGCTTGGATCCACAATCAACACTTACGGAAGCAGCAGTCGGTAAGAAAATCAAATGATGTATTGCTTTAGGCAGATCTGCTACGTAAGACCTCTTTAAAATATTCAAGAGCAAAGATGTCAGTTTGAGGACTAAGGTGAGCCTGATCCAATCCATGGTATTTCCAATAGCTTCATATGAATGTGAAAGTTGGATAATGAATAAAAAAGACCATAGGAAAATCGATGCATTTGAGTTACAGTGTTGAAGAAGAATATTGAAAGTACTGTGAATTATCAGAAGAGCAAACAAATCTGTGTTGGCAGAAGTACAGGCGGAAAGTTCCTTAGAAGCCAGCATGGTGAAACTTCACCTTCTCAGACTTTGGACATCAGGAGGGACCAGTCCCTGGAGAGGGACATCATGCTAGGTAAGGTGGCGGGTCAACAAAAAAGAGGAAGACCCCCAAGGAGATGAACTGTCACAGTGGCAGCAGAAATGAACTGGAGCTAACAACAATTGTGAGGATGTGCACAGAGTTGTTATGAATCAGAACCACCTCAGAGGACCCTAACAACAACAAGAAATGAGCTCATAGAGTTTTTGATAAGATGAAATAAAATGTAGCCCAATTACCTGGCAAAGAGCCCCGGAAGTACAATAGTTAATCACTCCGCTGTCTTGTGTGGGGCTGTATGAGAAGCACTCAACCGCAAGGTCAGGTTGAACCGCAAAATCGGAACCAACTCAACAGCACTTAACAACAAAACCAACCATTTATAAGGTGATAGTTCAACCTAAAGTGACTTTGTGGGAGAAAGATGTGGTGGTCTGCTTGCATAAAGACCTGTTATTTTTAAGTGCCGTTGAATTGTTCTGACTCTTGGAATAGAGTCTCCAAGGCTGTAAGAAAATCTCATCTTTGTCCCCGAGAGTGGCTAATGGACTCAAACTGCGAACCTTGTGGTTAGCAGCCCAGTGCTTACCCTACAGAGCTTCAGAACTCCCTCTGTAAAAATTACAGCCTAGGAAACCCCATGGGATAGATCTGCTCTGCACTGTAAGGTCGCCACAGGGTTCCTATGAGTCAAACCAACACAACAATGACAAGTCACAAGTGGTGAGCCAATACCCACCCAGAAAATGGTGACTATTAGAAACCTTCTCTCCATCTTCAACTCTCCACCTGACTCCTCTACGCTCACTATGTTAACCCTGTGCTGCCCAGATTGAGCACTTGAAACACAGGCCTTCCCGACTAAGCTGTGCCATAAAGTGCAAAATACAAATCAGATTTCACTGGTTTCGTCTGGCAAAAGAATGTAAAGCATCTTGATGCTTTTGGTATTGATTACATGTTGAAGTGATCATTTCAGGAAATGTTGACTTATATCAACTATATTATTAAATTCGTCTTCACTTGCTTTTGTTAACTATGAATATGGCCACTAGCAAATTTTAAATTCCATTTGGGATTTGCACTATATTTTGTGGCGCAGTATTGTGTTAACCCTCTACGTACAAGGGCGAACAGTATTTGTAATGCTTTCCAATGACAAGGGACCCACAACCTGTAGAGAAAAGACAAGTTAGGAAACCCTTCTTATAATATAGGTGCTGTGGGTTAGGCATTGGGCTGCTAACTGCCAGGTTGGTGGTTCAAATCCACCAGTTGCTCCTCGGGAGGAAGACATTGCTGTCTGCTCCCGTAAAGATTGACATTCTCAGCAACCCAATATAGGGTCACTATGAGTCGGAGTCCACTTGGTGGCAGTGGGTTTCCTGGTAATACCTATGTCCTCTTCCCTGAGTAGCGTAGTGGTTACGAATCAGGTTGCTAATCTCATGGTCAGCAGTTCGAAACTACCAGCTGCTCTGCGGGAGAAAGATGAGGCTTTCTGCTCCCGTGAAGATTTACAGCCTCAGAAACCCTGTGCAGGGTCGCTATGAAGCACATAACAACAACAACTTCTCTGAATCCTTGATGTGGATCTAGGCTCTGCTGTCCAAAGACTCTATTGCCCTCCTTTCCATAAGAAACCTTCACAAGAAAGCTCACATATGAGAAAACGTGAGGAGGGCACTTTGGGACGCATGAAGAGAACATAAGCCTGAGGCAAAAAGCCAGGGCCCACCTTAAGACTGCACAGTGTCTGGGGCGCACCATGCATTTTTTTTTTGTAGCTGGAGGCTTATTTAAGACCTTATTTTAACATTTACCTTAATCCTGTTTTCAGGTCAGAAAGACCTTTCTATTCAATGAGTCGTAGAATATCAAGAGCCCTCATTTCATTTGGAAAGAATTACTCACAGTGTCAAAGTAGTGGCCAGTATTCTCAAAGCTGTGCCGATTGTCATGGATGGAGAAGGGAAAGTTGTTATTTACACCTTGCTGGAAAAGAGAGGAAAGACATCAGGACCTTGGATGCTTTCCCAACCACAACCCAGTAATGGGAATGAAGGGCTGAGCAGTACGGAAATGAAAAATCACCAGAGAAGGCACAAACCACACAATATAGTGAAGCTGTTGGTGTCTGTGGCAGCTCAAGACTGAAAGGCCACCTTACTGTCAACTTGCTAAACTCATAAAAGTCCTCTTTCAAAGCCACCTTATTTGGAGGCAAGAAAGAAATAGTTTACGGGCTCCTGAACGAGAGAGGAAAAGGACTTCTGAATCCTTGGTTTGGCCAACAAAGATCCTGGAATCCCAGAGCCCTGGTGGCTGTCCCCTGTCCCAGTGGAGCTGGTGTGAGAGTTCAGTGCCCCTGTGAGCTGTAGTCAAAGGTACTGCTTCTTGTCATTAGAAGAACCTAATGTGATCGTCTGCACCAGGAGGCGTCACCTTTTGGAGAGCAAGGGGAAGTGGAGTGAATCTGTGGTTGTCACGGTGACCAGAGTGTGAGATAGGGATGCTATTTAGGGTGGGTTTCCACAAGGAAGACTTATCTGGTCAAAATGCTGCATTGGTGAATTTGGTCAAGTTGTAATTATCATTTATAATCAGCAGACTTTAAGGAGATGGTTCTTGATACGGAGGGTGGGTCTTACAAGAGTAAACACCAAGGATTCCTAGAGAAGAAGGAATTCTTCCTCAAGATGACAGTATCAACCTCTGTAGAGTTTCCAGCCTGCTGGCCAGCCCTGTAAATCTCTAATTTGGTTACAAATTGGGCTGCGAACCTTAATGTCAGCAGTTCAAAACTGCCAGCTGTTCCATGGGAGAAAGATGAGGCTTTCTGCTCCCGTAAAGATTTATAGCCTCAGAAACCCTGTACAGGGTCACTATGGGTTGGAGCCGACTCGACGGCACTTAACAACAACAACAAGGATTGCAAGAACCAATTCCTGAAATAAAGCTCTTGGTGTGTCTGTCTGCTGATCAGCGTGTTGTGCTGTGATGGCTTGGGTGTTGCTGTGATACTGGGAGCTCTGCCAGCAGGGTCACTCACAGTGTGGGCAGGTGCCAATGGAGCGCCCACACTAAGACAGACTAGGAAGAAAGGCCTGGTGATCTAACCTGTAAATTAGCCCATGAAAACGTTATGGACTACAGCAGAATGTTGGTCAACAGAGCAACGGAAGACGAGTCCCCTGAGAGACTGGAAGGCACTGCCCCAGGTCTACTGGAACAGTGGACTCCAACGGGGCCCAGGCCATGAAGATGCTCCCGAGGTACGTGGAGATCCTCTGTGAGGCCTGAGGTCACAGGAGTTACAACCAGCTAGGGGACAACTAACAGTGTGTGTCAGTGGGCGACTGAGTGTGTAAGCCTGTGTGTAGGTGTGTGAGAGAGTGTGTGCAAGTGTACGTGTGTATGTCTGTAAGTATAAGTGTGGGCGGTATGAGTGAAAGGGTGTGTTTGTGTGCATGAGTATGTGGCTGTGTATGAGTTTGGGGGATGTGTGAGTGTGAATGTGGGTGTGAGTGGTGGGGTGTTAGTGTGAGTGGGTGTACATGTGTGTGTTAGTATGTGAGTGTGGGTGTATGTATGTCTATAAGTGTGTGGGAGTGGGTGTGAGTGTGGGTATGTGGGTACAGGTGTGTGACTGTGTATATGAGTATGTGTTACTGTGTGTGTGTTCATGTGTGTGTGTGTGTTAGTGTGTGTTTATGTGAGTGTGGAGTGTGAATGTGTTAGTGTGTTGAGTGTGAGTGTGTGTGTGTGTGTGCAGTGCATGTGTGAGTGTGTTAGTGTGTGGAGCAAGTGTAGGGTGTGTGAGTATGTGAGTGTGTTGAGTGTGTCCGTGTGGCGTGTGTGTGAGTGTGGGGTATGTGGAATCTGTGTCTGAGTATACGAGTGTGGGAGTATTACATCTGAAATTGGGAGTGTGTATGTGAGTGTGTGTTAGTGTGAGTGTGTGGGAGTGGGAGGGTTGGTGGGTGAGTGTGGGAGTGTTGGTGTGCGTGTGTGTGAGTGTGTGTTAGTTTGAGTGTATGTTAGTGTGAGTGTGTGTGGATGTGGGTGTATGTGAGAGTCTGTTAGTGTGTAAGTGTGTGTTTATGTGCTTATGTGGATCTGTGAATGTGTGTGAAAGTTTATCAGTGAGTGTGATTGTGTGTTTATGTGTGAGTGTGTCTGTGAGTGTCTGTGTGTGTATGTGAGTGTATCAGTGTCTTGTGTGTGTGTGAGTGTGCCAGTGTGTATATTTATGTGTGACTGTGAGTGTGTGAGAGTGTGTTGATGTGTGAGTGTGCCAGTGTGTATATTTATGTGTGACTGTGAGTGTGTGAGAGTGTGTTGATGTGTGAGTGTGTGTTTGTGTGTGTGAGTATGTGGGAGAGTGTTAATGTGTTCATGTGTAAGGGTATATGTGAGTGTGTGTGAGTGTGACTGTGTGTTAAGGTGTGAGTGTGTGTGAGTGTGACTGTATATATATATATATGAATGTGTTGGTGAGTGTGTGTGTGTGCATCAGCATGTATTTGGTGTTTACATGTGAGTATGTCTATGAGATGTATGAGTGTGTGAGTGAGTGTGACTCTGTTTATGTGTGAGTGTGGCGGTGTGAGTGTGTATCAGCATGTGTTTATATGTGTGTGTGTCAGTGAGTGTGTGTGTTTATGTGTGAGTGTGTCGGTGAGTATGTGTGTATATGTTTATGTGTGTGTGTATGTTTATGTGTGTGTGAGACTGTGTGTTTATCTATGTGTGCAGTGAGTGTTGTGTGAGTGTCTGTGTTTATGTGTGAGTGTGTCAGTGAGTGTGTGTGTGTGTCAGTGTGCATGTTTATGTGTGTGTGAGACTGTGTGTTTATGTATGTGTGTCAGTGAGTGTTGTGTGAGTGTGTGTGAGTGTGTGTGAGTGTGTCAGCGTGCATGTTTATGTGTGTGTGAGACTGTGTGTTTATGTTTGTGTGTCAGTGAGTGTTGTGTGAGTGTGTGTGTTTATGTGTGAGTGTGTCGGTGAGTGTGTGTGTCTGTCAGTGTGTATGTTTGTGTTTGTGTGTGTGTGTGCACGCATCCTGTTGGTTCTGTTGCTCTGGAGAACGCTGACCAATCTCAGCCCCAAAGCTGCCAGCACCCCAGCCTCACCTTTGCGCGGATCTTGTATATGGGTGGCAGCTTGTCCTCCACTTGACAAGCTGAGCGTGCACCATGAGGCTCTTTTAACATAGCGCTTGTAATGGATTCAGGTGTCTTCTGCGTGAGTCCAATGTGAGGGAACTGGGGAAACAACGCATGTCTTGATTAAAACCAGACTTGTCGGAATCTACCAGTCAAGGATCACACTTCCTCCATAAAGTGATTAAAATGCTTCTGGCATCAGTGGAAATGGCATAATTTTTGTAATTTTGAAGTATTTTTTCCAAAGACAAGAAACGTCGTCATGGCCCAGAGCCACCGCGGCGGCTTGTTTCAAGTTTCAGGGGCCACCCTGCTGCACCAGAACCTGGATGGCATTCCAGGCTTCGAGGGAGCAGACGGCACTCAGAGGAGACAGACGAGTGAGCTGAGTTCTGCCACTAAGCTGGGAGCTCCTGTCCTTGAGACGGGGAGGTGAGCACACCCTCTAGCAATGGGGAACCTGGGGCAGGTGGGGTGAGGACCCCACCTGGCCCCCACTGAAGATGTAGAGTGTGGGGAGCAGGAGAATAAAGGAGACAGAAAAACACAAGGGAAAAAATGTGAGGAAATGGTGATGATTTGGCAGTGCACTAGGGGTCAAACCCTGTGAAAAGAGGGGGAGGGATGGGTCTGGGCAGAGGGAGCATGGAGCTGTGATGGCATCTCCAGGAAGGGGAGCTCTGTGCTGTCCTGAGATGGGATAAGGACAGTAGGCATTTGTGACCCTTGATAGGCCACACACTGATGGGAGCTGCTCCAGGAACTGACCGTGGACAAGGCAGTACTCCTCAGCCAAGACGTCCCTAGGGGTGGACTGTGAGAATCACTCTCTTAGGACCAGGGGAATGAGCCCTTCTTCCTGCAGAGGATGTGGGTGGCACTTCAAAGCCACTGTGTCCCACTTTATTTTATTTGAATGTTGTCCTTTGAAAGCCACCCCAACAAGTAAGACCCATGGGGGTGTTTAGGAGAGGAGAACCAGTGGAGATTAAAATACTCCAACACTCAGCAAAACTCCCCACAAAGGGAGGAATCAGAGCATGGTGCATCCTGGGGCCACAGACGGTGCTGAGTTCAGTATCAGAGCCCTGCCCTGTGCTAGGGACTTAATTTTTTTAAGCCTTCATTGCCTTACCTGTAAAATGGGGATAATACTACCTTCTAGACAGGAAGATCAACCAGCCAGTTACTGCCAGGTAATAAGCATCATGGATGAACCTCTAATCTTCAATGGCTGATTTTTTCAAAGCAGAATACCAGGCTTTGCTTCTTAACTGCTTCGAGGTGGACTTGAACCTCCACCCTTCCAGTCAGCAGCTGAGCACATTAACTATCTGTACCACACTAGGGATCAAAATAAATGGAGAAAAGACTGAAGTTGTCAAAGACTGAAGTTGTCTTCATTTTGCTTGGACCAAACAACATATTGTATTAGGCAAATCTTCTGCACAAGATCTTTTTAAAGTGTTCAAGAGCAAAGATGTCAGTTTGAAGACAAAGGTGCGTCTGACCCAGTCCATGCAATCTTCATTCCCATATGCGTGGGAAAGTTAGGCAGTGAATAAGGAAGACCATTGAAGAATTGATGCATTTGAGTTACAGTGTTGGGGGAGAATAGTAATAGTACCATACATGCACTGCCAAAAGAACAAATCAATCTGTGTTGGAAGAAGTACAGCCAGAATGTTCCTTGGAGGTCAGGATGGCCAGACTTTCTCTCTCATACTTCAGATGTATTATCAAGAGGGACCAGTCCCTGGAGGAGGACATCATGCTGGATAAAGTGGAAGGTTAGTGAGGAAGAGGAAGACTCCCAATGGGTTGGCACAGTGGCAGCAACAATGGGCTCAAGTGTGACAATGATTGTGAGGATGGTGCAGGGTCGCACAGTGTTTTGTTCTGTTGTGCAGAGCATGGCTATGAGTTGATACCGACTCCAGGGCACCTAACAACAACAACAAGAGATCCTTGGTAATGTAGTTTTAACTGAAAGAGACAAAGCATGCACCCAGAAAGTTCTCTCTCTCTCTCTCAGCAGGTTTTCTGGTTTTTTCTTCTCATTGTCAGTGCCTTAACTCAGTCTTTCTTCCTTCTCTTCTGCATTAGGAGAATATTGGCCAGCCCTGTTCTCCCTGGAGTTCTTCTCAAGACACGACGTAGCTTGGTATTGAGATGGTGCGTGTTTAACGTCTGGGAGCAAAAGTGTGTTTCATGTGACTTACATTAATGCAAAAGGTGGGAGAGATGTTTGAAGTTCCAAACAGCTGTGAAAAGCAAAGGCTAGGCAACTCACAGATGTGTGGACCATGGCCCGATCTTCTAAACACAGTTGGAAAAAAGGAAAAAACAGAATGTGATCTGTTCTTCCCAGCACTGTTTGTGTCAACAAATAATCCCTGTGCACAAAACAACAATGCATAATTTACAGGAACACACCTAAAGAGAAGAAAGCCCATAAACATATTAGAATGGCTGCCCATAGGATGAGGAAGGTGGGAATAGGAACTCAGGGTAATAAAAAGACCACCCAGACCTCCATGCCTCTGTGTGGAGATTATGTAGAGGGTTATGAGAAAAATTGGTTAACAGGAGATTCTAGAAGAAGGGTGATTTTCCTCTCACTGTCTGCTTGTACTGTTCACCTGCTTCTTAACTGAGCGTGTGTGTTACATCACATCATGGGAGTTTTTTCCACAACTAAAACGATTTTTGTTTTGTTTCTGATTCAAACTGTAATTCATATTTGTGGCTTAAAATAATCCATGAGAAAAGCAGAGGAAGGAAGGAAAATGTACCTGAAACCCTATCACCCTTCCCCATTAACTGTTTGGTGGTCATCCTTTCCATAATATCCTTCAATGAATGATCCTTCTAGATCACACACACATTGACATAACTTCCACATGTGCTTCCTTGTTGCTAGCCACCATCTATGCAACTCCATCCGCAACAGAGCAAAATCTGCCGGGCCCTCCCATTGTGGATCAGACCAATGTGATCTGTAAGATTTCCATTGGTGGATTTTCAGAACTAGATCTCCAGGCAGTCCAGTGCTTATCTGGAAGTTCCACTGAAACCCGCTCAGCATCAGAACAGCACACAAGCTTCCACTGACAGACAGGTAGTGGTGGTGTTTGAGGTGCCTCGGTCAGGAATTGAACCTGGATCTTCAGCATGGAAGGAGAGATTTCTACCATGGAGTCGCCAGTGCTTCCTTTGTATACACGCTGTTGTTGCTGTTAAGTGCTGTCGAGTCGGTGCAGACTCAGAGTGACCCTGAATAGGGTTTCTGAGGAGCGCTGGTGGGTTTGAACTGCTGACTTTACAGTTAGCGGTGTTTACTCCAGAGCACCACACCAGGAAGTAGGACCATATTATAAATGCCTTTCTTTAAAATTATGAGCATGTTTTTATTTGACTTCTGGTTACTTTCCCTCTCTCCTTGTCACCCCTCATACACACAGAGACATACACATACACTGCCACCCAAGTGCTCCTTTAATTGTATACAAACAACCACACACACACAGTGGGCTTAAGCTGCCTTGTGAAAACTGAATAATAATCCGCACACTGCCGTGTAGTTTGCGTTTCTTACCTAACAATATACCCTAGACGGTCTTCAAAGTCAACCTGCTCATTTCTAATCCAGCCGGTATTACATTTTCAAAAACTTTTTTTTAGGTTTTTATTGTGAATTTGGTGGTTTACTGAGCACATCACTTTTCCATACAACGATTCATAAACGTTTTCTTTCATGTCATTGATTGTAATACCTACAATGGAATACCACTTACCCTACTGTCAAGAAAACAGTTTCAAACAATTCCTTTCAAAGGTAAATGTAAATAGTACAAAGGGCCACCAACTTCTCCCTTCTCCACTCCTCCGGCTCAGTGTGGTCCACTCCACTCTAAGAAGCTGTGGACTATGGGATGGGGATGCGGGGGACAGCAGTTCAGACTTCCAGAATGTTCTCTCTTACTGGCCAAACGACAACTGACTTGAGTTCATTTATATTCTACAAGTTTATGAACTGAATCGTTGTTTTAAAAAAAATGGTAGTAGCATTTTAATTTCACTCTTTCAAAGCATATATTTAATGGCTATAAGAAGATAGCTGTGGCATAAACCCTTCTGTTAGATATGGTAACCGTGAAATATAGCGTTTTAACTAGTTGGCAGTAAAATCTTTGCTGCGTTCAATCGCTCGGTGACTGCAATATTAAATAGGGTGTGTAGAGGAAACCTTTCTTACCCAATACTGGTCAGGTGACACCCAACAAGGTCAACTGCAAAATGACCATCCCCCCTAATGTGGCCATTACTGTCCGCCTAATGGGCTGCTACTTGACTCAAAGCTGAGAATTTGTTTAATTTCCCCCAACTCATCTCCAGGTTACCAAGGGAAACTTCAGAGTCCACACTCCTCCTTTTTATGTCCTTAATGTAGATATTGTCAGGAGGGACCAGTCACTGGAGAGGGATACCATGTTTGATAAGGTGGACGGTCAGAGAAAAAGAGGAAAACCCCCAGCGAGATGGATTGGCAAAGTGGCAGCATCAATGGGCTCAAGCATGGCACGATTGTGAGGTTGTTCCAGGATCAGGCAGTGTTTTGTTCTGTTGTGCATAGAGTCACTATGAGTTGGTACTGACTTGATGGCACCTAACAACAACAATAGCAACAATATGTCCTGGCAGCAGACAGGGTCCACAATCAAGGTTGGGGGACATAGCCTCTCCATCTCAAACACTAGGCCCTGGTTCCCTGAATTTCCATTTTACTTATACTTCACTGTCCTATGATATATTATTCCTGGCAGCACCCTAAGTCTTTGTGGAAGGAAGCAAGTATGCAACTACATGGACTATGCCCTGGCTTGTACTTTGGACACGTTATCAGGAGGGACCAATTCCCCGGAGAAAGGCATCATGTTTGGTAAAGAGGAGGGTCAGAGAAAAAGAAGGAGACCCTCAACAACATGGACTGTTGCCGTGGCAGCAACATTGGGCAACTGTGAGGACGGCACAGGAATGGGCAGTGTTTCCTTCTGCTGTACACAGGGCTTGCTATTGTCAGGGACAAGTTAGGACCCCTGGGCCTGGGCCCCTTACCCTTTGCCCTGAAATGGAGGAGGACATCTCTAGTCCAACAAGAGTGATACCATTGAGCCCAGGAAACATCAAGGCAGGTGGTCGGGTCCCCTCAGTGCAAACCCCCTTCCAAAACTAAGACTCAATGAGAATACACGCTGTGATTGGTGACCACGCTCGACACCGATAAGGGGAAGTGAGGGAAAAACAGCAATGAAGCGGTGAGCTAGGCCCTACAACATTCAATAGACTTCTGTGAACCCGGGTAAAGACGTGGTTGGCCAGCAGTGTGGCAAGACCTGGGGACTCTTGGGCCCAGAGTCAGTGACATAGCTACAGAGGACTGGAGTGGAGAGTGAAGTGTCCAGCTGATAAGAAGAGAGGGCATATGCATAAGAACACCCACACTTGCAGATAATACCCACTT